ATATATATATATATATATATATATATATATATATATATATATATATATATATATATATATATATATATATATATATATATTGTTGAGATTTAACGCTCATGTTGAACGTAATCAATCGCTCATGTAATATTAATGGTGGCGGATTTGATGCTAAAACAAGTCTGTGAAGTGGATTCCTTCCATGAGAAGATCAAATTAAGTGGAATATTTGATGAAACTAACCAATCCTCTGACTTTTCTTCGCACTTCCGAACCACCGCGTTAATGAGAGGTCCATCCATGGAATTTATGAGATGGACAAAGAAGTCAAATCATCACGAGTTCGTCCACAAAGCCATCTAATGTAGATGAATGATTTGTGGCTGTCCGAGTCCTCAAGGTATCATCTCCTACCTTTTCAGCACCTTCGCCAAACAGCGAAAGGGTCTCCGATGGTGATTAATCGAAGAGCGAAGAACAAACACACATGCAAACGTGCAGACTAAGATCCTTGGATCAAAACACTATGATTCTGATGCTGTAAAAATTGTGACCGGTTACTTGTTGATATCAAGATCAAGAATATACTGTAGATGGTATCCTTCCACCATCACTTGTGAAAGCAAGGATCAGTAACTACAAAGAGAGAACAGGCACTAGTACGATTCTGGACTCTCTTGTTCCTATGTGAACTCTCTGGTGTGTGTGCCAATACCATGCAATGCCATCAGCGACTTGCTTCGGTAATCTCAGCATGGGGCCTTGGATCGGTTATCGGGCTGCCAATCTCCGGCAAAGGGCTTCCTCCGTCAAATGTGTGATCGGAGATGGTGGTTTGGTCATCTGCGTCGTTAGAGTAAGGCGAAGCACTGGGACTCGCGTCTCTCGTGGCTGGCCCGACCTGCTTGGGCTCAGTCCTCCTCCTGGTTCCATGGGAGGAGCTGTCCTTGGCATTGAAGAGCCGGGCGATGGAGATAAGTCTCCGGCTGAAGGACTTCTCCGCAGCGATGTCTTTGAAGGTGCGCCGGTTACGGTAGGCGGAGCGCGACAAAAAGACGATGCAGCACAGCATGGACACGGCTCCGGTGATGAGGAAAAGCCCCCAGAAGCTCTTGAAGTCGAGCCGGTCGGTGTCGGAGGAGAGCGTGCTGCCTTGGTTTGGGCAGCTCGTCTGGTCACCGAACCATCGTCTCTCGATCTCGGTCATCTCCTCGCCCTCTGTTATGTTCAGGATCGCCCTCGACAGGTCCGACGCTAGTGGCGACCCTTTGGGGAAGGCCTGAGGAAGCATCACAGAACACACATGTAAGAGAGGAGTTGCACGAGAGAGAGAGAGAGAGAGAGAGAGAGAGAGAGAGACTCACATATCCAAAGCCACCGGTCTTGTAGGTTTGCCCTGCCATGGTGTAGTTGTCACAGTAGTCCTTCAGAAACACCCGGAGATAAGGGATCTCGTCGATGATGGCGGCCACGCTGCCGTTGGACAACGCTTCATGGTACTGCTGGGGTGATCGAAATGGTTTCAGCTTCGACTCCTCGAAGCCCAGCTTCAGCAGCAGTCCCTTGGTGAAGGAGCTCTTGAGGTACCCCACGTGCTGCCCACTGTGCTTGAGCTCCTCGAAGTCACTGACGGTGGGTCTAAATTGTTGCACCGTGAGCATGGAGGTCAAGCTCGCAATGTAGCTGGATTGCAGTATCAGCACCACAAATACCCATACGATCACAACCACCCTCGACAGATTGCTCATCAAGGTCTCCCCTGTATGAGGATCCATGAAACTATTATTAGTCTGAGAAGATCCACATCAGATGAAGGTTCAAAGGGGGAACAAAAGAATGGACTTTACTCACTGTGAGCGAAGACGAGGGTTGAGAAGGAGAAGTAGAAGACGGTGCCCAACTGTTGGCCTGGCGTCCCCTGGAACTCTGCGTTCCGCCTGTGCTCCAAAGCCCACACGACGGCGCCGGTGAAGACGAAGAAGGCGGCGCTCACCAGCCAGAGATCCGCTGTGAGGGGCTTGAGGAAGATCCAGGCGTTCTTGCTGTGCTGGTCTCTGAGAGGAACGACCATGGAGACGCCGGAGACGGTGTACGGCAAGGTGAAGTCGACGAACATGGACCGGTTGGCGGTGATGGTGACGTCCCCGACGACTGCGTCATATTTCTGACACCAGCAAAGGACGAGGATGACTCAGTCGGATCAAAGACGCACAAGCTGTCAACAGCTGCTGCTGTCGTCACGGATGAAGTCATCCGCGTTGAATTATTGGACGTATGCACTGCAGGACACGCCATGTGAGCAGCATGACCTTATAACAATATGGGAAAGTCGTCTTCATCACAAGTTCCACCTCCCCACTTTGTTGTTTGAACTCTGTATATGTATTTATTTAGAGAGATAAAGATGGAGATAAGACAGATAGATAGAGAGAGAGACAGGAGATGGAGTTTTGTTCTTATCATCAGGGATCACAGATTGCACTGTAGAAAGTTTTGACTGGTCTTCCTAACAAGTCTTTTTTCTGTCTTTGGAATAAAAAAAAGAAAGTCTTTCTGTATTATTCTTACAACACCCACCAATTACCTGTGGTATTATAATTCCAATTACTCCAATCCAACCTCTTGGATCAAGGGATCTAATATAATTACTACCTAAAACTTGATGTTATGAATTCAGAAATGACATGGTGAGCTTTATTGAAGACCAGAATCTATTATCTTACAAATAGCACAACCTAATTCTTTGTTTTTCCTTTTGTGTCTTGTCTCCTCCCATTCAAATTATTATTGTGTTTGACCTGGTTCTCTATTTTATCAATCAGTCGAACAAGTCGGTCAAAGATTGGCCGAATGGACTGGGAAAAGAAAACAAAAGCAAAGAAGTCCATGCCTTTCGAGGAACAAATAACTTTGAGAAGAAATAGAATAAAATTTGCGGCATTGATGTTAATGCCACTCAAATGAATGAATACACACGCGACCCAGGCAATGTAATGATTGGGTAACGAAAACGAATTGGGCTTCCAACTAGATAGATGTAAACATGATTGACTTCAGTAGTCAAAGCCACCTGTTCACGAGTGAATTGGTCAAATGGTTGGATTGGTCAACCGAATTAATCTGTGGATACTGTGGAAATGACTTCCTCCACTGAGAATGAATGGACCACCTAAGAAAGGTTGAAGGTGGAGCAAACATCTCACACGATGTCCGACCGATAGAGGTCGATGGCGCATCTGCACCACCCATCACAGGCCCTTGTGCGGCTCCCAAAGCATCAAGAAAGAACTCACAATCGTGATGCACGATAATGCCGCCCCGACATGGACCTCCGATAGGAGTGGGGAAAGTGGAGCTATCCCCCCCGTATTGGATCGTGATTGCGTGATCCAGAGCGTCCGTCACAAGAGACCCATGGGGATCTATCTTTCGCAGGAGTAGAATCTCCACGGAAATCGAAGAAGAAGGAGACGAAGCGCAGGGATCATGGAACTGACCTTGTCGTAGACCTGCTTCACCAGCGTGTTGTAGTCGCCGCCGCTGGTTCCGTTGGCGTTGCGGTAGGGCTCGTACTCGAATAGCAGCGCGTACGGCAGCTGCCGCACCGCCGCCTCGAAAACGTCGATCACGAATCCCCTGGCCAGGGTCACGTTCGTCGCTGGATCGCGCTCCACGTCCAGGAAGGAATGGAACCCTGGCTCCACCGGCCCCGGCACTGCGATCCGCAGCTTCCTCCCGCTCGTCGGCGTCACCCACCCCTTCGGCACTGCCGTCGAGTACCCCGGCCATATTACCGGCAGCAGCCCCTCCCTCGTCGCCGAGTAATCGCTCGTGCTGCTACTATTCAGCTCCCGGGTCAGCCCGTGCCTAGCCGTCCAGAACCCGATCTCCCTCGCCTTCTCCCCGTTCACGTTCATGATCTGGTAAGCCGTCACGTTCAGCTCTCCGTTATCGAGACGAAATCTCCCTCCGAGCCCCTGGAACTCTGTTTGCTTGATGTAGTCCAGAAGCTTGGGGCCGGTCCTCGACACACCCAGCTTAGAGAAGTCCGTGGTTCCATTGTTCCCGGGCATATCGAAGCCGGGGCCGACGACCGAGCCGAGGCGCTCGGCGGCGGCGGCCACGGTCCAGACCGCATCGTAGGCCCATATGCCGAAGTTGCTGAGCTCGGTGACGTCGGAATCCGCATTCTCCTTCAAGAACTCCCTCCTCCACCTCCTCTTGAAATCTCGGAGCCGAGGGGACCAGGGGATATACGGCTTCACCCCCAGTACGCCTTGCATGCTGTCGGGCACCAGAGTAGGCGGGTCGATCGAGCCGAGGAGGCTGGTGAGCCCCTCGGTGATTATCCAAACGAAGCCGTCGCTCATCATCTCGGCGCTCCTGATGAGAGGGAAGAGGCGGATGGCCAGCGGGAAGGTAACGTGCACCACGAAGACGCACGTCTGCAGCGTCTTCAGGCGGTAGAGCTCGGCGGAAATGTGGTCCTCGGTGGCGGAGGGGGAAAGGGCGCAGCGGTAGGGGACGGAAGCGCCGACCTCGTCAAAGGCGTCAACGAGGAAGGGGACTAGGGCGGTGCCGTAGTCCGAATCCTCGTAGACGGCGACGACGCGGCGCCAGTCGAAGGCCTGGACGATGGCGGCGATGGCTCGGACCTGGGCGGCGTCACTGGGGACGGCGCGGACGAAGTAGGGGCTGCGCGCGGGGGACACCGCGGGGCTGGTGGCGGAAAAAGAAACGACGGGGATTCTGGCCTTGGCACCGAGATCGGCGACGAAGGGTGCCTCCACGGAGGTCTGCGGGCCGAGTATGGCGTGCGCCTCGTCATCGTTCAGCAACTCCAGCGCTGCATCCAGTCAACCGCGATCAGTCAGTCAACCGTCAATATTCGGCCGGCACAAGTCATAGTCAAGACTTGGGGGCCAAGTAAGGAAGACGTGAAGGGGAGGTCCGGGTACCAGCGGCGGCGGCGTTCACGACGTCGCGGGAGGAGTCACGGGGAAGGAGGACGATGCGGTTGGTGGAGTTTGGGTATTTGTCGTAGAAGTCGTCGGCGGCCATCCGGGCGATCGTCCTGTAGACTTTCCCGGTAGCGGAGCTCATGTCGAGAATGAGGCCGACCTTGAAGGTCGCCACCACCGCGGGAGTCGAAGACGCATGGAGAGGAGGCGGTGGAGAGGCGGAGAGGGTGGAGGGGATAAGGATTGGGAACAAGAAGAGGGAGTAGAGGAAGCGAGCGAACCTACGGAGAGCCAGGCCCCTCATCAGGGAACGGGAGAAGATGAGGCAGGAAAAACGATGGAAGTGCAGGCGAAGAGGACGTGAGTGAGAGGAAGAATATATAAACCCATATTGTATATGGGGACTTCTTTACTCATTTTCAGCGGTATAACCCACTCCTCACGCGTTCGTAGATAACAATCGAAAGCGGAAGTTTCACGGGCGACGTGGCCCTTCGCAGACCCGAATTTAATATTCATGTTGGCTCGTGCCCGAGTCCACCATAGACCAGGAACTACAGAGAAGACAACTTGTGGTCCAGGTCATTCACCGTGGAAGGTGGTTTCTGGTTGACCCTTTAAAAATGAAGCCTACAGTCGCAATAGCGGTCAATAAAAGTAGCAAGGAACCTTTGGGAACGCAGATTCAACCCTCGTGCTCAGCTTCAAGTTAGCCACCCGAAGAAATTTTTACCATATGAACTCCCAAAGATGTCGGATTTGAGAATAAAATCCCTCCCGCACCACTCGTTTAACGTGGGAAAGTTCATATTAATGATGCATGAGAGGGGATGATCCACGTGAAATTATTTTGCGACTCACGTCCATAGAAACTATGAAAATTATATAACTATTATTATAATATTAAAGCATCCTTCTCTAGCATCGTCAAATCCGATCATTAAAAATATTTTATACAATCAAATGTAATCACGAAGCATCATTAACCTTCCTCGAATCCGAGATAATTATATATTATCCTTTATAATTAAACATGATTAGTATCTTAATTTTTATACTTTAAAAAATAGTATTGAAACTCTTATAAAATATTTAACCTCAATACTTTTTATGTTATTGATTTTGTTGACATGAAAAAAAAAACGAATGGAATGGATAAAAATATAATTTTGTTATTTTTTAAATTATTAATTTTATATAAACTTTGTTGGTTTCCTCTTCTCTTTTCAAACAACTCACCCACTACACTCACACAACAAGCAAGAAGGGTGGGCAAGTGCGACGAGTGAGCGAGTCCGACGGGTTAACAATTTCGAAAGAGGAGAAGATGAAACTAGTAAAGTTTATATAAAATTAATAATTTAAAAAGATAATAAAATTATTTTTTTATTTTTTTCATTCGTTTTTATTTTTTACATATGACAACACGTGCGATTTTTTTCGTCAACGAAATTAATGACGTAAGGAGAATTGAGATTAAATATTTCGCCTTCGTAAGTGTAGAGACCTCAATACTATTTTTTAAATTAACTATTGAGGCAATTACCCCCTTTATCTCCTTAACCTTCGGTATGATCAAATTTATCTACAAAATATCATTTATCTCCGATTCAATTAAATCTAACCACAAAGCATTAACATCACTTGTCTGAATCATGGGATAGACCTCAACCATGAAACATCCTTTGTCTTCGATGTGACTGAATATGGTCATGAAGTGTCATTTGTCTAAGATGTGATAAAATTCGACTATGAATCTCAACATTCTTTGTCTTCATGATGGTCAAGTGAGACTATAAATTAACCTTGATTTCCCAATCACCCACCACTTATGATGTGATCAATTCCCAAGTCGAATATGACATTAAGTTCCGACATCTTTCACACAGTGACAATGAGATAGATGATATAAGAGATTTAATACACTCTTATGGTTTAAGTGACTCTTCAAGTCTAAGTAAAGCTCAACAATCCTACGAAATCGTCTTATGGATTTAACTCCTCATTTTAATCGTGACAAATACTGAAAGTCCCTATAAAATATCTCAGATATGTTAACTCTAGGGACTATCTTTTGAATCCTCTATATTCTATATCACTCTTTCCCAAGTTCCTAAATTAAACATGAAAGGGGTTTTTGTCAAGTATGTTCCTCACCTAGTTCTTGTAGGATCCGTCACCGAATCCAATCAACTCTCTAATATAAGCTTGTGACGGATTCTCAAAAGTACTAAGATTGATTTTGAATTTTTAACATATCAAACAGTCAAAATCTACACAGAGAGATATATTTGAACAACTTTGTTGGGTCTGCAGAACAAGTTGGGGAAGAGTCAAACTTGTTGGCCGAAATCAGAGGATCTAGCCATGTCTCCCTTTCATTAAAGGGCAGAAAAAGGAATCGCATCAATCAATGGTGGTGGTAGCAGTTAAATTGCGAGTAGGCTGGATGGGGTGGTAGGCCAACACTGATTTAACCCCAACCTTATATTTGATCTGTCTCAATCCTAAAGCAACATAACATAATAAATACCTCATATTTGTCAAGCTGGATCAAGTTGCATGAATAATTTGGTTTAACAAGAATAAGATAAGAGATTCACATTAGTATTTTAATCATTTGTGTCATACCATCCTAATTCTGTATGATATTTATATCTATACCTACCTAAAATCTATGATGAATTTGCATCTGTCATGTATTCATCATGAATTTGCATCCATCTAGAGAAGAAACTTCACCTCAGATAAAAAAGAGACAGAAGACATAAGTAGAACAGGAGAGAACGAAACATAAATGACTTATCTCATATAGCTCTCCTTTGTTGGGTGACTAGGGGATAGATTCATCCACTGCAGTGTACTGCTTGTTCCTCTGGTGAGCCCATGATAGATGATGGTACAGCTAAAGAGCCGTTGAGATGAGATCTCAATCACTGAAAGCCCTGAATTGAGAAACAGAGTTCACCAAGGAAAGATGAGTTTATTTTTTGTTAGGTTTTGGCTGATGTTCTGCAACTACATCTTAATACCTTATTATAACAATAAGCTAAAGACACTAATTCTTGATACTAATGGAATGTAGACGGACTTCACACTCTGCCTCTCTCATTCTAATTTGTAATATAAAACCTGTCAAAAGCTGTGTCACTTGCTGTCATTTTAAGAGAGCATTCAAGCTAGTGTAAGATAGATTAAAAACACAAGTACATATGATATAGCTTATGAAGATTAGTTGTGTCAACCATGCAAGGACACTTATGTGCAGGTCAATTCAACCAACATACCCTGGAACAGAGAATTTTTAGATGAGCATGTCATGCAAAGGCTCATGGCAAGACACAAACAGCAGAATCAACATGAACCAGCATTAGCTGGACAACCTCCAGTATTAAATCTTTCGGAACAACTTGATATCATGGCTTAATACGGTGGCCGAGATTTGCTGACGACAGACGAGAAAACTAGCATAATTGTGCATTAGCAACAAACCCTAAAGTTATCCTTTGCTTTGCTCAACCACAATCCTTATCTACTACAAAAGATGCACTAATGCGGCTCACCTTCTCCCGTCAAATAATCGACCATAATGGTCGTTGAGGATAACCTAAAAGAAACTTTAATTTGATCACACTATCAATCATCAAACTTCACTTCAAGAACTTTCCTTAAAGGGAGAGAGAGAGCGATTTTACCTCATAACCAGTTATCAGAGCTCTTTGCGCCTCACAACCAAAAGATAAAGATCAAATTGATTGCAAGGACTCAACAAGAAGATTTCAAGAATGCTGCGAAATCATAGAATACGGCGCCTTCAATCATCCACGACGATTTCCCGATGGATTGCGACAGCGTGGAGGAGGGGACATTATCGGCTGTTGTGTTGGAGCCGCCGGGGACATTATCGGCCGTTGCTTTCGTCGTCGACGGCAAAGAACCCTAGCTGTAACATCCCTCGGTGGAAAGAAGGCGTCGGCCCTCGGAAAGAACGGCAGTTGCCTATTTATAGGCTAGGCTACCGATACAGCGTCACGTACTCCGCGGAGCAATGTAAGCAACAATACTACTCTTATTGTTCTATAGGCCGTTTAGGCCCAACTCAGTGTTAAATTAGCCCAATTCTTTGTGGGCCCAAATTAACCCGTACATATAATATTATATATTTATTTATTTATCTCGGTCTGTGAGATGTGCTTTCAATAGAGATATGCAGGGGTTTATTGCACTTCATTAATCTAAAGATGGAGGAGGTGTATGTATCCAAGTTTTGCTTTCAACTGGTGTACATAGATAGTATATCCTACGTTAGGTGCAATATGAACTCCAAAGGCAGAAAAGAAGAAAGACATCAGAAGAATCAAGCTGATGAACTGATGAAGTTGAATGTAAGCCGAGGAAGAAGAGCATTACAGTATTATTGACAACTTTACACTGAGTGTTCTTAGACATGTGGAAGCACATATGCTCAGGTCTAAATTCTCAACAACTTCATTTAATTGCCTTCCTACAGACCAAACCGTAGCCCATTCTCTTGCCACATGAACTCGGAATGGAGAGCTGAGGCTGAATCCCAAGACACTGTTGCTGTTTGATCCATGAAACCTTCAGTAGGCCACCAATTTGTACTCTCCGTTTCACCATATATTTCTTTGTAACAGTCTAAGTCAACAAGTTGATGCTCTTCATGCCCTACAGTGGAGGAGTTCTTGCAGTAGAGCAGGTCATGGAGGTCAGCTCGAACACCTGCAGTTGCAGAATCCAAGTTGGAGCTCGAAGTTTCCATGCTGAGAGTACCTCCGCTCGAGGGTGAGCGAAACCCTAACGGTAAGCAGTCCGTTTCTTGTATGTTTGTACTCATCAGCTTTGATACATCAGGAGCTTGTTGCACAGGGGTTGTAGCAGTAGCATCTGTGGTTTGGCTTTGGAAGATCTTATCTCCTAGTGGATGATAGTACTTGGGCCAGAGTTCAGGGTGGTTGTAGAAGGAGAAGGGATTGTGGAGGCCTTGGAGCTGCATGTGGAGTTGCATTCTCTCGAGGGCTGATGCGCTTAGGGTTTGGGAAGGTGCTTCGTGCTTCAACCTATCAGCTGCGTCGCCAGGAACATGGTTAAGGTGGAGGCTTCGCGATCGATTCGGTTCTCTTTGCTTGCCGAGTAGTTTCTTCTTCAGCCTTGTGTTCCAGTAATTCTTGATATCATTATCTGTTCTTCCTGGCAGCTGGGCTGCAATTATTGACCACCTAATGCATGAAAGTGGAGGGTTATCATGGAAGGAAGAGAGAGATTGGGGGGAGAGAAGGCGGGGTTGCAGTTGTATGATTTACCTGCTCCCTATACTTATGTAGAGCCTGCAGATAGTTTGATCTTCCTCTTCTGTAAAGCCACCATGTTTGATGTTTGGTCTCAGATAATTTAGCCATCTCAGCCTGCA